CGATGATGGCCACGCAACAATTCATTCTTCTGGGATTTTGGACAAGCATCCACACATGCCTGCATGATCCTCAAGTCACCAGGTCCGGGACTTGAACAGCAGTCACCCACAGTTGTGCCTTAACCACTAAACCACCTGCTGGCCCCTGAACTTTATTTTTTTTTAAAGGGATCAAAAGAAAACTTTCCCTGTCTGTAGATCACTCTGGAGCACAATAAAAACGCAACATTTAAGCAAGTAAGTGGTCACTGGTTACTAGCTGATTGCATGTTTGGAAGGAAGTGGGCAGGAGGAGCAGCCCCAGGAAACAGGGAAGGCCAGGGTAGAACTGTATCTACAACAATATACTTCCAAAGACACCGGCCTGACCTTTTCACAAACTCTTCAAAGAGGATGCGGTGGGAATAGCCCTGCTGGCGGATGCTGACTGTCTCTAGGATTCCCGTGGAGCGGAGCTGGGCCAGAACCCTTTCTCGGGAAAATTGCAGGGCCTCTCGGTTGTCGTTGGGTTTAATGCAGCGCACAAAGTGGGGCTGTCCGACCACCATTTTGGAGAGCAGATCCATCAGAGAATACTGTCAGGGAGAAGAACACACATGAAGTGAGGTAAGTACCAGCATACTAGGTAACTACAACATGGGCCTATAGGGGCCTCTGGGGCAGTTTCAGGCTTCTAACTTACCGACAACTTCTCTGAGGCAGAAGGTGAAGTCAGCAGTATAAAATGACAACTTACAATGCCCGACAGTTAAAAAGTAGTTTTTTTAACATTACTTAATGCCAACTAATAGCCCCATGTGGCAGAAACTTAGCTAAGAATAAGCTCTAGGTTACCTGTAACTCCTTCTCTAGACCAGAGTGCTTAGCCCTGGTGATGTCCTAGAAACTGTTCCTGCAATTTAAAACATGCGGCTTTGGGGAAAGGGATATTGCTTCTTCAGCCCCAAAACCACCCAAAAAATCGGAGCAAATTTTACTGATACTACTGGTGATGAGGTTATAGAACAACAACAACAACAATAAACAACAACAAAACAGAAACACGACAAAAAAAGGAAACTGGAGAAAAAGAAGATCATGATGATCAGCTAACATATACTGAGTGGCTGGTACAGGATTCTCATAAAGAGGTGGGAAGGACTTGGAAAAGCCGACAGGTGCATGTGCAGAAAGGCCTCAGTGTTCCTCAGGGGCATCCATTGTTGGCACTTGTCTTCTGAGCACACCTCCGGGGCAATCACAGCTGCACAGGAAACCAATTCCATTATTTCATAACCACTCCTCCTACTGATCAAGTGTTTTATCTAGCTTGCCAGGATACTGTATTTATTTATTTTCTTTTTTTTGGAGAGGTTTTTTTTTGCTATAGGGCACGTGCGCTTGCCAGAAAGACAGAGAGAGATAGAGAGACAGAAAACAAGAAATCACCCCCCAGGGGGTATGGTCACGCCACAATCCCTTCTCCTCCATTCTCCTCTCAGGATCTTGGGCACGCACGCACACGCGCCTGGCGTGAGTTTAAGCCATCGGGTCCAGGACTTGAACTGCAGTCGACTACGTGGGATTCCAGCGACATAGCCATTACGCTAACTGCTGGTCCCCAGGCCCCAAATCTTGAGAAGGATGGAGACCTGGGGGAGAAAGGATTGGGGTGTGACCATGCCCCACTGAAGGACGCTTTCTCTCTTTCTGGCGAGTACATGTGCCCTATCTAGCAATTAAAAAAAAAAAAGGTAGGGGTGAGAAATAAGTAGTGAATATAAATGTCTAGGGCAGTTGTATTAGCACAGCAGCAGCACAAGGCTCTGAGATGCTGAAGCCACACCGGAGGGTCCAGTGTTCGCATCCCAAAGTCTCTCTGGATGTACTGGGCACTCGCATGCATGCCTATGTTCCTGGCTGCCTGAGGCCAGTGGGGGAACTGCAGTACGAGGATCCTTCCGGGAGCTACCTCTTTCTCCCTCTCTCTCTAAGATATAAATAAATAAGTTTAAATATTATAAAGAGGGGGGGCTGGCAGGTGGCGTGGTAGCTAAGGGTACTGGATTCCCACATGGCCGACCTCGGTTTGAGTCCCAGTCCTGGCAGCCTGCTTTTCACTTTCTCTCTCTCTCCCGCTCTCACTCTCGCTCTCGCTCTTGCTCTCTGTCCTGTTCTGGTCAAATTAAAATAAATTAATTAATTAAAATAAAGTTAAATAAAGTAATTCTTTAAAATATATTACAAAGAGGGAAATAGCTGAACACTGGGGTGATGAACCAGGGGTCGAATGCCCACCTTCCAGAGCTGTTCAG